TACAGATAGTGCCGTACCGGCGCTGACAAATATAAATTCCAAATTCCAAACCTATATTTAATGTTCTTGCTTCACATCTGGACTCAAATTCATTTAAAAGCAACCTCACTAATTTGTCTCAAATAGAGTCTATGGTACGTTTAGTACCATCAGCAGTTTCAGACAGATCAAAACGTAGCTGTAATGTAATCTTCCGCAACCTTTCTCAAACTAATAATCCAATGCTAGCAATACCTTGTGGTATAAATATACGAATTGTGTCTGCCAAAAGATCAAGTTCGCGAATTAGAAACAAATCAATTTTACTTACTTTTTCTACCCAAGCTGAAGCTCAAATGATACTGCAAAACCCTGAAATAAACAGGAGTTCCGCAGTATTAAAGCACATATGGGCCCCGACTTGACACCGATGCAGCGCCAGCAAGTCTTCTATAAAGACAAACTGCCTAAACAAAATGAGCCAAAAATAGTCGCAGAAAAAAGTACTCCACAAAACGCTACTTTTGAGGAACAATTAACGAGTTCCTCCATCTCTGGGAAGAATAACGAAAACTATCAACATAGCATCAGCTTGGCTGATTAGATGGCGACTTCTTTATAAACTCCGCCGCATAAAATTAAGAGGTAGGCCTCTTGCGTGGATCGAAAGCTTCCTAATCGGCCGCTCACAAACTGTCCACATCAATGACAAACATTCAGCTAAAGTTGCGGTTGAGAGTGGTGTTCCCCAAGGCTCCGCTCTCGGCCCTATCTTGTTCGTTATCTACATCAACGATTGCGTCAGCAAACTGAATTTCGGTATCGCCATGTTCGCCAACGATATCAAACTTTGGAGCGTAATTCGAACTGTGGCTGACGAAGAGAACATGCAGACACATTTAAATCGACTTCAAAAAGGGTCGAAGGTCTGGCTCTTGCTGTTCAGTGAGAGCAAGTGCAACACCATTCGAGTGGGCAAAACCGGTTCTTCAAATGGCACGGTTTACCGACTAAACGGCATACTATTGAAAGAAGTGAACGCCCAGAAGGACTTGGGAGTCTGGAAAACGCC